GTAATACATGAAAGACTAGCTTTATGAGGCATTTCATTTGCACTCCTGAAAGGGACAGTGTCACAACCAAATAAATATTAGGCTTGCTTCTCTGTAAACTTAGTGACAAGCAGCAATGCTCCCATACATGGCATGGTGTTCTGCATGTGCCACCTCTCAAAATGAAAGCATCACATCCGTGTTTGCACAGTTATGCAGGAAAGCTAATCAGTAGTTCCTCTCAGCTAATTAGCAATGCAGATAGGGCCACACTGATTCTGGTTCACATAAAGCAGCTTACTGGGTGTGTCTACACGTGTGCCTGACTGTGCAACTAACAAATGACTGTGCAGTAACTGCCAGTACTGTGCAGTCCTGGTGCCGTATGGGTCATTTCCGACCCTACTGCACAGTAGCTTGTTGCTACTGCATGGTAGTGGTGGTATCATGGTTCATGCCTGCTGACACTGTGTCACCATAGCAACAAGCTATGGTGATGTAGTATATTGTATAGACACTCCTACTGCTTCCAAACATACTAATAATGTATTTGACTGGATGCTGTAAAATTTGTTGTTTACAACTGTACATTAGTCTCCTCATAAAAATGCGGGAATTGAAGATTATTATCTGCTATTCTAAAGTATTAATGAATACTGTAATATCACAGGAAAATTTTAGTGCACTGTATTTTGGCCTTCCTAGATTTTGGCCATAGAACTTGAATAACAACCGGTCCAAATTAATCTATCTCAAGAAGATGTTCTTAACTGCACTGATAATGTGCAAAGCACTGCAACCAGGATCCAAGGTATTTCATGGGATATGTACTATTAAAGAAAGATAGAAATGAAAGGACAGGTGGTATGATATAACAAACTAAAGAAATATAAAGGATAAAAGAACATCTTTTTAGGTTAAAATCACACTGGGGAAAGATTAAAAAAGAAGGGTAATATTATGGTTCTGCTGTAGACCTGAGTTGAGTTTTACTCCAGATAGAGAATGTCTATATGGTTATATGAACAATTAGCACTATCAAGAACCGTATATTTATAATAGACTAATTTTCCAGATATCAGTTAAAGAACAAATGCTACTTTTAATTGTTTTATCCATCCCTCTTATTCTATGAATTGTTATGCTTAGCTCACACTCAGAATATCAGTTTGAACCTGTAACATTCCATTTTCAGCTATTTATGACTCATATAATTGCTGTGATGCATATAGCCATCAAGGGATTATCTCCCCTCTTCAAAGGCCCTTTTTATATCATTAACATTAGTTATGACCATTGAAAGTATCAACAGAAAAATAAGACTTCACAGTAAAACACTCTACTCTCTGTGGTTACTGAAAGAAAAAAATACACTCTCACCACAGAGGCATTAAGAAAGATTATCAAAAGGTTCAGATAACTAATACAGTCAAGGCAAAATTAAGGAATCCTTTCCCACCCTACCTCTCACCACTCTCCTAACCACCCTCTCCCTACACAATGACCTTATTCCTCATATGCCAAGGTTTGGTTTCCTACTTCACACTCCATTCTCTCTCAGCTTCCCCCCCACCACAAAACTTTTGAAAAAAAAACCCAAACAAATTAAAAACTATCTTCCACCTTAATTTTCAAGGGTTTTGTTTGTTTTGTTATGTATAAGAGTTGCTGAAATTCTTCTTATGATTCCAGAAGGAACCTATGAATCTATTAAATTTTCTTTAGAGGTTTTGAGTGAAATAATTTTGCTAGACATCGATGAACAATGAGCCTACTCCATTAAAAGCAAGAAAATAAACAAACCAGAATGTACAATTTCCATGCAAGTTTCCCAACTTTACCATCCCCAGCCCAAATCTCTAAGCAGTGTAAAGCTATATTTGGTTCAATAGTGACAGCTCTATGAAATGTTAATGTCTCCCTCTACCCCAACGAAACATAACCAAAAAAAAATAAACTCAGCAAAAAAAAAAATTATATATGAACAAACAACAAAAACAAACTGAACAAAAAGAGAAGCAATTATCAAATAACACAGAGAATAGAGACAAGAATGTTAAGGATGGTAAACATGAGGAAACAAATGAACAAGAAAAAAAGAACTAAAAACCAAAGCAACTGGAAAGGAAATCATGTGAGAAAGAATTAGCTGCTGTTTTAGAACATCAGTATGAAAAGGAGGGGCATGATGTGAGGAAGTCTGCAGTATGCTCGGCATCCCATGATGGCTAATAATAAATGAATAGCACAGTCTCCTAGGATGCTTGTATACATGATGTGGTTTTAGTCCTTAGGGTTGCATTCTATGTCCCCAAAATTGAAATGGTGAGTTTTTAATTTAATAATGAGTTTTATTTTTTCATCATTGAAGGCAGAAGCGGTGAGGGGCCCAATCCTTCTTATTTTTTTTGACGGAGCCTGCCCACCTCTCCCATAGCCAGAGAGCATTAATCTGTGCCATTAATTTGTCAGCTCAACCCCATCTACAGGAGAGGTGGGCAGACTCCACAGAGAAAAAGGATCAGTCCCCTCACTGCTTCTGCCTTCAGCAGGTTCCTGCACCTGGCAGAATACCTGGGGCTGCCTGGGAATGGGCTGGCTTGCCCCTGAGTCAGTGCAGAGAGATGGCACAATGGTAGCTGGGTGTGCTGGCAGCCAGGCAGGGGGGCAGGCAGAGCCATCCCTCGGGGGTGGTGAATCAGGGTGACTGCCCCAGGCCCCGTGCTGTGGGGGCCCCGTGGAGCAGCGCAGAGTAGTGGCAGTGCACAGCTGGATGGAGCAGTGCCTCTGCGTCCAGCTGCTCACTACCCCTCCCCCCGCTGCTGATGCCAATGCCACTGCTGCCAATGGTGGCGGCAGCTTCTTCAGGTCCAGGGCCCATGGGATCGGAGTGGGGGCAGGGCCCTTCATGGGCTGATTTGCCCCGGACCCCACACCCTGTTTGGGTCAGTTCTGGTGACAGGGATGGTACATGGTGCACTGGAAGCTTGGGCGGGAAGTTAGCAGCCCACCCAGGCAGCCCAGTGCCCTAGGTACAATCCCTGCCACCTTCTCCAGCCACCAGCAGACCCAGACACCCTCCTGCTGCCTCTCTGCAGTTTCAGGGGCAAGCCAGCCCATTACTGGGTGGTCCCAGGTGTCTTGCCAGCCACAGGAGCCTGCTGAAGGCAGGAGCAGCGAGGGGTCCAATCCTTTTTTTCTGCGGAGTCTGCCCACCTCTCCTGCAGCCAGGGGGGTGATCTGACCAATGGCTGCAATGTTTCAAGTTGCAACATTGTAAACTATATTACAATAGGGTGTATTTTAGCTTGCAACAATGTGTAAAGTACTTAATCAGTGCTTGCGTATTGGCAACAAAATGTCTAGTATTAATTCAGTTATTAATTGGTCCTAGCAAGTAAAACTGTTTCCATGTGTCTTCTATATTAATGTAATTTTAGTTTTCAGCCGGTCAGCAGAAGATTCCCAGGATACTTTTGAGGTCAGGGTACCTCACATCCCACTCTTTTCTGCCACGTCTCGATGATAAAAGAGGAAAATAAAAGATGTCAGGGTGGGAGGCTAATTGCGTGAATGATCCTTGGTGATACCTTAATATAGCAAGAGCTCTGCCAAACCCTATACTCTCTTCTGATCCACCAGGTGGTAACTCATTGTCCATATAACATTAGAAAAAGTCCACAAGATCCTTTTGTTAGGCTTGTACCTTTAACATAAATCAAAACAAACTTAGTCCTGGTTAATCCTCACCGGGACTCTGAAAGTGAAAACATTTTTCATCTAAACAGTTTATTAGCCTAGGTGCAGATATCTGAGCTTTATCCTTGTTCTATTTTCTGTGAGGATTCCCACCTCCTTCAGTCCAATGGAAATAATGAACAAAATAAAAATTCTTGTCTGTATATCTCAGTATTTACGGTACTTCTGTCTTGGCCCTCCTCACAGGACTAGCTGACTGGAGTGTTGGATTTCATTCTGGCTGTTTTGTCATAGGTATGTTTCTCTCTGCGGCAAATCTGCAGCATGCTTCAAGCAGCACTGTTGCTTGTGCTTCCTTGCTCAGCACTTTCTGCTCCCTTGCTGTCGGGGTGAAGAAATTTTGGTTCTTGTCTCTGCCCCTGAGTCTGCTCTGAGTCCTTCTTTTTACTGGAGCTCACCTTCCTTTCCCCCCTCCCCAGAAGCACTGGGAGAAGAAAGATTCCTTTGTAGCTGTATGTATCCTAGGTGATGGGAAGGCTGCAGGGAAGCACCCTTCAAACCCTGGTTTCTTCCTCTCTGCCCCAGGTATTCCTGCTCTTCCCTTACACGATGCAAACTCATTTAAAACTCCCCAAACTTGCATACGTGTAATGTGTGACAACATTAAGCCACACAAAGGGAAATGTTCATTATGTATACATTGTAACATTGTCACATGTACACATGCCCCTAAACATTAACTCATGGATTAGTCTCCTCCAATGCTAAGCAGCAGATATTATGTCTCTCCAAATCACAGCCCCTTTGCAATGATCCTGCTCAAACAGTGGACCTCACATGTGGACAATAATTAAAGTTCAAACTGGCTCAGCATCTACTGTTAAGTTACTGACATATTTTACTATAATGTACTTTGCGACTCTTCTGTAGGATCCTATATATACAATGTCTGCATGCACGCAATATTCATTCAATGGCAAAACTGTATAAGTGTTAGCATTTTGACACAAAAAGGATCTTGTTTTATCCCAGTGAATGAATGTTTATGTTTCCTGGACTTTTTATTTGTTTGCCTGTTTGTTTGTTTTTAGTATATTAAAAGCTTATTTACTTTTAATTGCTTTTTAAAATTCTCTTTGTATTCCCTATGCCTTACTTCCTAAGCATTTGTGAAGTATAAAGCTTAGAACTTTGAGACCCAATAAGGATACTTTATAGCAAGACATAACCCTTAATCACTCATTTAAATACGTATGTAATACAGAAAAACCCTCTGAATAGCAGTAAATTTCTATACAAAAATATTTAACTCATATACTTACACATACAAGACTGTCCTGGTATCTCCAACTTTCCCAGCATCCCCTACAGTTAGGGTATCGTATCCTCTTTCTAACTCAAATTCTTCAAAAGCAAGCTTGATGACCTGTTTGAATGAAAAGGTACATATTCATTATTTTAAAATATTCTGCAAATGATGTTATTTGTAATATGATTAGCAATTGATTCAGGTACTTTGCATCAGATAGTGAAACATTGGCTTCACTAATTACTTAGTTGTAGCAAAATCTAAAGAAATATAAATTCAGGGTAAAGGTTTACATATTTTTTCATACCAGAGAGAAATCTTTGCCATAATACAATAAGGATATTTATCACAAAAGGCACAGGCATCTCTGACAGTTTAAAAAAATAATACTTTAAAGAACACTTATCTTTTTGAGTTGTTATGGTTGCTTATTATTGATTATAATATAAATTAATTTTGTGGCATTGAAAATATACAAGACAGCAAACAAAGGCAATCTAAAGTACAGAGAGAAAAAATATTACATTCTAATATGAAAATATCAAAAATACTACATTTAATATTTTCCATTTGGGAGGAAATATACAATAAAAGATGAGGGTATGCACCATATTAATATCCACTTGATGAGAAAAAGGGAAGGAAGGAATAGCTCTTAATTACACATAAAACCAACTAAATAAATTGTAGTAATGCTCAGAATTCAATATGGAAATGTTGATAAATTACATCATAAAGAAAGAAGTAAAAATATGAAATTGTTTCCTCTAGAAATGTTTGCATATGTATTTGTTCTCTATAGAAATTATAGCTCTTATGTGATCTGTCATATATCAGATATGGACATTTTTTTTTTTCAGAAAGCAAGACAAAACACCTCAAAAATAACAAACAAAAAAAGCCAAATGGGAATCCAAAATAGGGATTGGATTAAGGTTTGTGTCAGTCTTCAGTTGTTAATACAACTCCATTTTTTTCATATCAAGTTTTCTGCAGAGAGTCTCCCTCAATAAAGGATTATTATTGATGCTGATTAACTATACTAGGACAGTTCCTGATCCAATATTTTCATGAAAAATTATTTTCTTTTTCCAACAGTGTTTTGACCAGATCCTGGCTGACAGCTGAAATGCTGGTCCACTTGATATCCTGAGGCTAGAGACAGAAATTGCGAAATGAGGATATGTGTCAGGATATGTCCCAGCACAGCTAATCTACTTCATTAGGCAAAACACATGTCCCCTGTTATCCCACCATTGATCTTGTGGGACAACAGGCAACATGTTCCCCATTTCCCGAGATGCACCCCTAGCAAACTCTGGGGTTCCTGGAGATTGTTGGAGATACATATCTACAAGTGGGGAAAGCAGGGACATACTGGTACAGTATGTGGTCCCATTGGTAATTGGCGGCCACAGCCCCAGGAACATGCATAACACTGGAGTCTTCTGCTTTCCCCACTTCCAGAAATGGAATATCTGGGATGCATCTCTGTAAGCCGGGAAAATTTTGGTTCTTCCTTTGCAATGATGCATCCTCAGCAATCTCCAGGGTGAATTTCTAGAAGGGGGAACCGCAACTTTCTCCACTTATAGAGATGTGTCCCAGATAGTCCTGTGCAGAAAGCTGGGCAGCACTCTCTGGGTTTGAGGGGCCTAATCCTATGCAGGAATTCCCAGGATGCACAGGACCAGGCCCCTTAAGCACTTGAGTGCCATCCCTGGGCAGCAGGAGTGTTTGGGAAGTTCCAGGCTGCCTGCCCTTTCCCATCATAAAGCAAATAGACATCTGCTACAACCAAGGCAACACAACCTTTTAATGGAGCCACAGTGAAATACAACAAAAGGCATGGACACTCATTTCCTGTTGTTTTGTGCTGCCATAAACATTTTTATGGCATGAGGGTCTATTTACATATTTTTCCCTAAAGAGTGTTAGTTATGGGATTCTAGCCAGGCAACAAATCCCTAACTACTAAATGATCACACTATGCTTCTTCTCCTCATTTCTTCAGGATCACAGTCAGAGGTGACTGGAATGGAGCTGTGTACCTGCCTGGGAAGAGCACAACCTACTGCCTATTTCAGTAGCTGTGTCCACATTACACATGGAATAGGATCCCTGACTGTGTATAAATGCCAAAAATCACCATTACTATCCGTTTAAATGGATAAAAAAGCTTAAATGTTTCTTTGTTTAAAATATAACTGTTTTAAAATACAGAACAAAACAATGAAATCTAAATCCCTGACTAAATTAAAATGTTATGCTGATTTATCACTCAAAATGACTAATAGGATTTGTTTAAAACTGGGTTAAAAATATGCTCCAGGACTAAAACTTTACATATTGTTTTAATATGAAGTGAATATTTACAGTTGCATTGCTAAAGAATTAAAAATAAGAGAGTTTATTTGAAGAAAAAATCATAACTTTAGGATGCATGGCTATTAAAAATAAATTATTATAGGACAAGAGCATATGCAAATTTATTTTGATAATATGCCAGGGCTCCAGTTCAGTGATCTCATGCATGTTATATGGGGCTTTTGTAGCCTGTATCTGTAAACCTGCTATATGCAAAGATAAATTGTACTTTACTAGTACTTCACTGTATTGTGTTTCAATAACTATTAGCATTACAGCCAGTATGATGAAGGTTGAATAATACATGTTCTCACCTGTTCTTTGCTGCACCCTGAAATGTCCCTAGGTTATAACAATGATTAACATTCAAAAAATTCCTCTCTGAGTCAAGAACAATCAAGCCAAGGATCAACATGAAAAGTATGCAGAAGCATAAAAGTACATCTGTTCTTCCTGACAATAAAAGACTAGCTTTTCATGTAAATCAATCGTTTCAAAATGCCATAAAGGAAAATTGTATGTGTTTGTTTATGAAGAGAGAGGTTACTGAATATATACTTAGATAACTTTGAAATGAATAATTTAAATATGCTAAAATTTGTTACACTCATTGTTTTATTTACATTCTAGTCTAAAAAAATATGAAAATTTGTTGAATAAAATGAATTACACAAAAGTAATGGAGTTTCATTCATAATGAAAAGCTTGACAGTTTGGCTGAGGTTAGCCATGTAAATTATAATCAGATGTATAGATTATCTTCAAGAAATTGGATAAAGTTTCCCCTAAGTTGATTAATGGGGAAAAGTATTTTGTACTTCATCCCTTTTTTTAGACTTTGATCAAATTTAAACAATCCATTTTTTTCTGAATATTATTTCTTCTATACTCATAACATTTATAATCATATCTGCGGTCAGAAGATTACTGATTTAGTGGATGTAAAGCATAAGAAAATACTTTAGCTGTGACATATATGATGCACACGAGATTCCTCTCAGTCCATTTATTGTCAAATGGCTAGCACGCCACTGATTCTATAGTTGCTGGACTGATTTTATATTCAGAGACTCTGAATTGATTAGGAAAAGATTCAGAAAAGATTTGGTGATTCAGAGATTCGAAGGGAAGTCTTTATGGGGAAACAGAAACTTAGAAGAGGGAAAGGGAGTAGGTGGGGGAGCAGGTGGGGAGGAGGAGATGGGGGGAAGGACTGACATCTCTAGCTGGCCAGTGACTGTGACTTCTCTCTGGCTGCCCTTCCAATCACACTGTCTGGGGGGAGGGACGTAGAAACAGCATAAAAGCCTTTGTCTTCAGGCTTGCATTGCCTTTTGTGAGCTGGTTCTGAGTGAGCAACAGCATCAGAAGGGTACTGGACTGCCTGGCTTGCTTCCTAGTCAGTCAGTCACCTGCTCTTTTTTGTTCTTAGAAAGGATTGGATAGGGTAAAGCTTAGCTTAGCATCTCTCTACTTAATACTTATCCAATTCATTTCTTTCAATTTATATTTGTTCTCTCTTTTCTTGTTGTTGTTGTTGTTGTTGTTGTTTTGTTGCAATACTTTTAAAAAAGAAAGCTCAGTGTTTTCCCTGGCAGTGTGATCCATCACTGTGCAGGGAAGCACACATTCCACACACTCACACAGATGATAGAAGAAGTCAGATATTCATAGAAGAAGAGATTCAGAATCAGATTATATATAGTTATTAGTTTTTAATATTATAATAGTTAGTTTACATATAGACTACAGACAACACAGAAGTCAGATAGAGATTCAGACTGAGACTAACACAGAACTCAGGGACTTAGAAGGAGATGTATTATTTTAGGTACACATTAAAACACAGTAGAGTAGTAGAGTAGTAGTCACAGATTCACAATAGCACATCACAGAAGAAGACACCATATATAGTTATTAATAATCAAACGCGCACTCACACAACACAGAGGGAATAAAACACACAACAGAGTCACACTTCACATTCATAATTCATAGTAAATAAATACATCACAACAGAGAAGAAGACAGACAGACAGCACACATTTTTTACATAGTTCTTAATACCTCTTACTTAATAAAAGAATCAAAAAAGATTCCAGTGCACGCATGCAACACAGAGGGAATAAAACACACAACACAAAAGGAGTGACACACACACGCCTTTTGCAGCACAGGAAAGATTAATATGAAGCATGCTGGAAAGGCAGGTGCCAGGTTTTCTGGCAGGAGACGGAGACAGGGTAGGGGAAGAGCTACAGCTACAAGTTCCCCCCACCCCCAAACATAGATGCATCCTCTTCCCAAGCAGCCATGACGCTTCTGCTGCCAGTGGAAGTAAGGGGGTGGCAGCAGTACCTGAACTTGATGTCCCTGCACCTGCACCCACTCCCCTAACTCCAGAAATAGGCACCAGTAGCAGAATCACTGTCTCCTCCATCCCAATGTCATCTCCCAGTGTGAGCCTCCCACTGCCAGAGGAGAAGCTGGAGCTGAAACCAGGGGACCTGAGTGCCCTGACTCAAGCAATTCTGGAGACTGAGGGGGAATCAGAATCTATGCTCCACAATCCTCAAAGTTCCCCTAGACCTAGGTCTCCTCCAGAAAGCAGCACCTTGAACGAGGTTGAGGTTGTGAAGGGAAGTGGCTCAGCTGAGGCAGCTCCTCCTGCTGTTGTACCTCAGACTGCTGAGGAGGGGGAGAAGGGAGCATCCCCATCCTTAACCCAGAAGTGGGCAAGTAGCATAGTG